TTTTTTTTTTTTTTTTTTTGCCACCTGGAGTTTCTGGAGCATGGGTTACTCAGATCTTATGGCCGTAAGCCGGCATGTGGTCTCTCCTAATTGGAGCTTGAACTTAAAAATCATCTATCATCTGGGCCTTACACTATGAGGGTCTCCATTGAATCCATTTTGAAGTGGGCCTTCTCTGAGATGGAGGAGTCACTGATGCAGCTTAGTAGAAGCCAGAAGAGCTTACAAAATCTTGTGGGAGGACTCTGAAGTGCAGCTCCTGCAGGTAGGCTGCGAGTGCATAGGAGAACAGGAACTACCTCCCAGGTGATGCCTTGGGAAGATATTTATGGAGGAAGCAGTCTGGAGTCAGCATGATGGCACAGGCTTCATAACTTCAGTTCTTGAGGGGCTTTGAGGAGGACTAAAAGCTCAGGTCTACTAGATGACATATGAGAACTGGCCTCCAAAATAAACCCAAAGACAAGTGATAGTTGGTGTGTGTGAACCATACCTATGTCCATTAAATTTTATCCCTGACTGTCATTGTATTTCTGTGTTTGGGAGCTATCAACGTAAACTCAGATATACAGTGTATTGGGGTCATATGGTAGCCTTATAAGGGTATGTCTTCTGTCTCTTTCAAGTCCTGAGGGCTCAGAAGAAAGTAAAGTTAGAAGAGTCAAGTACTTAAGTAATTCACAATGTCAGTTTTGTTTGTTTGTTTGTTTGTTTGTTTGTTTTTGTGGTACTGGGGATCAAACTTGGAACATTGCAGTTGCCATGCCAATGGGCTATATCCCAAGGCCCTCATGTACTTAAGTAATAGAAGATAAATATTTATTAGGTCTCACATGCACAGGTCCCTCTATAAGTGAATACACACACACACACACACACTCCTGGTTTTCCACAAACCTTGCATCTGTTTACTTTGTTGTCATTCCACCCATTAATGGCATATTTTCCCTACCATTTCTCATGATGGTATAACTATTAAGTAGATGTGGAAAAGCATGTGGACACAAACTCTCTCTCTCTCTCACACAGACACACACACACACACACACACACACACACACACACACACTTTCCCAGGCTCTATTTTCCTGTCCTGGTGGCGGCTGACCTGGTAGATAAGCTCTAACAGTCCTCACTCATGAACTGGTGAAGTGAGAAATGCTTCAGAATGTTGAGCCTCTGTTGCCAACGTTGCCAGTTAGCATGGCAATGCTGGAATATTGGAAGATCAGCGAAAAATGTGGTAGAAGACTGTAAAATCCTATCCCATGTTTCAGGTTTACACGTTTGAAAGATGTGCACAGCAAAAGAAATATGCTTCCTGTTGGCAGAAGCCCAAATCCCCATATAATGGGCTTCCTGCTTTTGAGAAGTCTCAGACAATCTATGGCAGTGGTGAATTTAGAGCCTCTTTGAAGTGTTGCACAGTCTAGAAAAAGACAGAGTGTAAGTGTAATAGGAATTACAAATAATATCACTGTAGGATATAGATGGGAACCTTCATATAGCCAGACTGAGAGTGGAGAGGAGAGCTGGACTAACTTCCAGGAAGATGGACTCTTTCCAATCTGAAAGCTTATGGAGAAAATAGTAGGGACACATCTAGCATGGGACACAGTGGAAATCTTACCACTTTGGGAACTGTGTAAGGATATGTTTGAGTTCCAGGCTACCTTGGTCTGTAGAGAAAGCTCTGTCCTCATGGGAAAACAATGAGGATATAGGTGTTATAGGAGTAATATAACCCCATACCTGCAAGATGTCACGTGTGCTGAGACTATGTCTATCAAAATCACAGAATGAATTTCAAAGGACAAGGAAGGATAAAAGAAGAAAAGGCTTGTGAAAAACCAAAGGGGCCAACGAAAGTTTTCAACAAAGCCCTTTGTCATGGGTAATTTATATAGAAATGTTACAGTGTGGGTACAACATGGGTCAAACTATAAAGCAAAACTATATAAACAGCCAACAAGAATGAACACACATGCTCAACATCACTGATCATCAGAGAATGAAGTTCAAAGCCACAATAAGCTATCACTTTACATCAGAAAGAAGAGCTGATATAAAAAAAAAAATTGAAGACAAAAATGCTGGTGAGTTTGTGGAGAAAAAGGAAACACCTGTTGTTCTGAGAAGAGAAGACAGGATATAATAAATAAAATGATGGCCTAACTACTACACCAAGATGTATAATAGTCAAGATTCCAGAACTCCAACACAAGAACAACATACTAAAAACTGCTAAAAAAGAAAAAGAAACAGATCAACTTTAAAGCAGAACCATCAGAATAATAGCAAATTTCTCTTGGCAAAGCATTAAGTCAAGAAGAGCATGGAGAAAAGTACTTCAAGTCATTCAAGAAATCAAATTCCAACTTAGACTGATCTATCCTGAAAACCTTTCAGGTTTAATGGACAAGTGGAATACTTCCATGCAAATAAAAATAAAGAAATTCAGGATGAACAAAACATCATTACAAAGAATACTAAAACATATTCCAGAAAGGGATCAAAATACCCAAATTCCAAGAACAACACATAAAAACCACCAAACATGGCAAACTATTAAATGTAATAGGACTCAATTCATCAATTAAAAGATATAGGCTCACAGAGTGGATTAGGAAAAAAAATCCAACAATATGCTCTATACAAGAAGCTCATTTAACTAATAAAAAAGTGATAGGCTGAGAGTCAAAGGATGGAAACAATACTACATGTTCCAGGACCTCACAAAAACAGGGCTAGCTATTTTGTGCGCAGATCATCTAAACTTCAAACCAAGAATGATCAAACGAGATAAAGAAGGTCACTATATACTTGTTACAGGAAAAATTCAAGAGGACGAGATGACAGTCATAAATAGGTATGCAGTAAATATGGAAGTACCCAAGTATATAAGAAAAAATTTCAAAGGACATGAAAAAAGTAATAACCAATGTCACAATCATAACAAGGGATCTTAAAATCCCCTTATCTAAAAAAGATAGGTCTTAAGCACCTTCCTGTCATGCACAAAGCTCAGAGATCGATTCCTTGTATGAAAATAAGAAAAGGTTAACTGAAAAAGATAGGTAAAAAAGACAAAAATAAGGAAAGAGGTAGCAGAACTAAACTAATCCTTTCAATAAATAAACTTAGTAGACATACATAGAGTCCTCCACTGAACCACATCTGAATACACATTCTTTTCAGCTTCATATGGGACATTTTCTAAGATAGAACACATACTAATCCATAGGTCATACTTAATTATTTTCAAGAAAACAAAAGTTATTCCATGAATGTAGTCTGACCACAATGCAGAGAAACTTGAAATTAAAGACAAAAGAAACCATAAAGTACCATAAACATATAGAAATTAAATGATACGCTTATAAGAAACAAATGGGTTACAGACAAAATTAAACAAGCAATTAAGCAATATTTACAATTCAAGGAAAATTCCAGTACAACTTCCCAGAATTTGTGGGATGAAATGAAAGCAGATCTTAGAGGGTTATTTATTTATTTTTTATATTAGGGAAGGGTCTATAGGTGTTCAGGGTCTCACTACTAGATTGGATGCATAGTGATTCTCCTGTTTACAGCCTCCCTAGTGCTGGGATTACAGATGTGTGCCACCATGCCCAGTCTCAATCACCCTCTCAATGTACCCTGGGGGCGGAGCCAGCACAACAGATCCAGGGATCGAAACCCTGGCCCCTATGCCTGCTTGCAGGGGCTTTGATCTGCTTAGCCATTCAGCCAGCTTAGAGGGAAATTTATAGTAGTGAACTCACACATTTGAAAAACAGAACAAGAACAAATGCATATCCTAAAAGCTCTACCTCAAGCTTCTAGAAAAAGAAGAGGAAACAAAGCCCAAGCACTAAAGTTTGGAGGAAGTCATAAAGATTAGGGCAGAAATTAATGCAATCAAGAAACACAAAACAAAATGAAAAATTAATGAATTAAAAGGATGGTTCTTTAAAAGATGGAATAAACTTGATAAAACCTTAGCTAACCTCATCAAAAAGAGGAAAGAAAAAATTCAAAGTAAAGTAGTAAGGAATGAGAGGGCAATCGTACTATACATACCATGGAAATTCAGAAGATCATCAATAGCTACTTTGAAAATCTTTACTCTCACAGAATTGAAGATTCAAAAGAGAAATTTAGAAATTCCTGAATAGGTAAAAATTACCAAAACTAAATTAAGAAGATATAAAAACTCTGAATAACTCAATATCAGCCATTGAAATTGAAAACATTAATCTTAACGACAAACAAAAGCCCAGGTCCTAATAGATTCACAGCTGAATTTTACAAAAAATTTAGGCAAGATTTAATCCCAATACTCCTCAAACTCCTCAATGAAATTGAA